TTGCACTTGATTACAAACTTTGCAGTATGCGTATTTATCGAAAGATAAAGCGAACATCCTTTAAAATTTATCTACAATAGTTTACTTGTTTTGCAGCTAACGGAAAATAGTGCATAACAATTTTAATTGGATACGTTCAACATCAATTCCCAAAGAGTAGTACAAAATTGGAGTGTCAATGTAATACGAAAATACTATCTAGAGACTCAGCACAATAAATGACTCCTTTAATGCCTGCCCCTTTAGTTCATCAATAGTCCTTTGAGAAGCCAGTCAACCGCATCAATCGCTTAGTATACTTTTTGTCAAGTAATTGCCCTGGTTGTGACCCAAATAATCGTTATCGGTAATAACCAAACATTGATTTATCCCCTGTTTCTTTTTTTTGTATGCGCCATTGTCTGCCTAGCGAGACTTCTTAGCATTGCTCTAAACGTAGCATTTGACCCGACCCACACACCGAAACCCGGTGACCCCGGCCAAAAGGAACCTCGTCGAAGTGGCACAGACAAAGCCATTAAAATCGCCATCAATGCGACCCTATGGCAAAGCGAATAACGCATGAGAGTACGCTTAGAAAAAGTAGAGTGATGTTATGGAATTTGGAAACGAATTTTGTTTTATTTTCCTAATTTAGGGCCTTCGTTTGAAGTGATGCCTACCAAAATAAAGTCATGTTTGACAGAGTTGCAATGGGAGGGTCACTTTGTGTGCAAGATTTGGTTACACCAATCATATCAATGGTCTCAAACAGTTCTCTCAGTGCATTCGACGCCGAAATACCGAGAATAATCCAAAAAGGAATATAATCAATATGGAATACCGAAAATACCCGAAAGCAAAACCAATTCCAGTTCAAAAACAAATCCATTGTAAATGCGCTTGTCGCCGGTGAAAAGTTTTCTCCGATTCCCTGTCCCTATCTCTTTCCTTTCCTTTTTTTTAGGTTCGCAGAGGTGCGGTGGGCGTTTGGCATAATAATAACCGCTAACTTGTCACCTTGCCACCGACGTTCGCACTTTTATTACGACCGGATCGAGAACTCGTAAAAAAGGACATAGGACAAAAAATTACGTGTATCCTTTTTCTAATCGCAAATGCGTGCCCAGTATGGCGAAGCTGAAATCCCTCGTTTTGCCGCCCCTTTGGTGCACCTAAAAACCCCAACCATATAGCGAACTATTACTTTTATTTCCTCGGTGGCTAGCAATTGGTTTGCCTTAGCTTTGCTCCCTGTCACTTTTGTGGCCCAGTCCCATTGTGGCCAAGTCTGGGGCATTCCGAATGGGGAATGGGTAGTTGGGGAACTGTGCGGTTTTGTGTCGCATACAAAGTGATAACGAAATAAATAAATAATAAATTTCGTTTCGTTCCGTTTCGTTTCGTTTTTATTTCAACGCTGTGTCTCGCACGATTTTTAGCAAATTTACCCCGCCAACACTGCCCACATAAGTAAATAGCTGTGTGAAAAAGGGCTGAGGGGGACAAAAAGGTTCTGTCATGAAGTTTGTCGCTTGGTTAGTTGGGAATTTGGGAGCCCCAGACCCCAACGATATGGTCAAAGCGCAGAGCAGTCGGGCTCAAATGTAATAATGTTCAGAAACACATACATAGCGAATATATGTAGCAATATACATATATAATAAGAGCGGAGGAGTGCATAAATTTTTGTGAATTTTGAGTAGGGACAGGACAAAGTCAGAGTCCAAAGTCCGCAGTCCCAAAGTCCGGAGTCCCCGAGTCAAGTGCTGATTCAGTTGCCTGAGTTATGGGCCACTATGGCACCCAGAAATTGTCTTTGACTGCGGACCGAATGAATGTTCTGTTTATTCAGCGAGTGGCTGGCATGCAGAACCCTCGAATGAAAACGAATGAAACCCGTATTTATGAGTACTAAACAAATAAAGGAGTTACACTCGATGGCCTCGGCCATTCATAATGCTGGAATAGCTCATTTAGAAGTCGTTGCCTTGAATGATTAGGCCACCGCCCAATACCAAATATACAAAAATAAACAATTGTGTATTAACACTTTTCATCATGCCCATTCAGAAAATATACTTATTATTTATAATTTATAAAACTGAATTAAGCTTGTGCACATTTAAAAGCTTCATTTACGGATAACTCTTTTAATGCGCCATATGGGCATTTCATTTTCAATATTTCAGGTAGAATTACATGCTTTTAAATAATTTTCAGTTGGACAATTCGAGTTTTTCATTGAATGTGTTTGCCTTTTCGTAATGCTTTTTTCTTGCTTCCTTTAACTGAAATTTTTGTTCAATGACTAATGCCAGTAGAATGGCCAACAGTTTTGAATTCATGAAGATGAAAGTCCAACATTTGTGTCACCAAATGGAGGTGTGCTGAATTTGCATTCACTCTAGGACTCTAGGACCCTTTTCAGTGGGATGCGAACCGCAGATTTTCACGGCGGAGCAACAAACGAATGCCAGGAAAAACCTCGATGGGATCTGACCAACATGAGTGGGCCCAGTGGGGGGCAGGGAGTAACGACGGTAGAGGTTAATGGCGGGTAAACACTGAGCGAAAACCTGATGAAAATGTGAGGGGTACAACGGTACAAATCTCTTGGTCGCCGGAGAACTTTGTCATGTTGTCAAATGGCAGCAAATCCCAGTGCCAGTCTGCTCTTCCCTTTGCCACTCGGGGTGCCCCGCCCACCAAGCCCCCCTTTTTCCCAGAGCCCCGCCCTTAAACCCCCTCCGCTCCCGCCATCCAAATGGGGTCTGTGGAATGAACATCAGCGAAATCATTTGGCGAGCCACAAAATCGCATCAAAATATTGCGTATGTGCGTGCCGAGCCAGCAAGTCTTCTCCCCTGTTGATGTGCCTACTCCCTTCGCGCGTGTGTGTGTGTGTGTGTGGGTTTATATGGGCGGTGGTGGGCGTGGCAGAACTACCGAGCTGGGAGTAATCATGTATCGCTATTCTAAACACACTGAAATGCTCCAAATGAGCCGAGATTTGTCTCTGGCAATAAAAAGTAAGGCATATCAACTGCTAGTTCAACTTCAGTTGTTCAAAATGACAATATAGATAGCCCTTAACATTTTATTGCGATAAAAGCAATATAAGTATGAAAAATAAGTTGAAAAGTTCTTGACTGCTATTTATTTATTTAAAAGTAGCCATAGTAAAAGTAACTTCACTATTTCTTATTTTATGTATTATGTATAGTATTAATATTAAATTTAAAATACTATGTTTCCTCAAATAAGGTTCATATATTTCTAACCAATATAATAATATTCAGTATACATATATGTGGCTATTATCTGCCATTCGAGTCACATTTTCCACTAAAAGGTCGTAATAATTTCTGATTTAGTTTTTCGCGGCATATGCTGCCGTTTTCTGCCAGGCTTTTCCGCATTTCCCATTCCATTGCACGGCGCCCATTGTGAGAGGCACCTGTTTTGGGCTTTATTTAGGCCATTATTTTCTATACTGTCAATACTTTTGTACACACTTTTGTACTTCCCCTGCTGCGCCAGCTCTGCTCATCAGTTTTGTCTGGTAATTTGCATTTAAATTTGCGAATGTTTTGCCTTTTTCTCGTTTTTCCCATTGCCAAACAAAAGGCAGCGAAACACAAAATCCGTGGGCTGCCGAAGGTTGGGATTTTCAGAGGGTGGTGATGGTGATATAGGAATACGGATGAGATGGGGATTTCTTTGGTTTTTTTTTCACTAGGGGGTAGGGGCGTGTTATCAGAGCGAGTTGACAACTTTGCAATGCGTTTCGTTTCGTTTCGCTTAGATTTGTTTAATATTTGCCCGCAGGCCGTCGATTGCTGGTGTACCCAACTCAACTCGAAAGAAGAGAAACAAAATGAACTACAAATAAGAGAGGGAAAGGTTGGGAGAAATGGGCGAAAGTCTGGCCACGCCCTCGTCCTTGGCGTCGCCTTTCACCGCCTTTGATGTTTTGTGTGTGTGTGTGTTTTTCTTCTTTATTTTTTTTGGCTGCAAAAGCGGAAAAATGAGCGGAAGAAAAAGTGCGAACTTGGCTCGAATTTGGCGGAGAATCTGGGCGTTGGAAAATCGGTGGAAAATGTGGAGCCAAAAAAAGGGTGTTTTCCTTATTTTTTAAGGCCACGCCACTGCCAAATATTAAATAACCTTTTGGTTATTGGCTTAGTCATGAGGTATTCTACTTCTTCCCTTTTGGGCAGAAATATCTCTTCACGAAATCCTGTCGTTCCATGTTCTCCATTCCTCTACCATTTCATTTTATTGCCACAAATTTGGTTTGATAAGCCATGGGCGAACTTTTTTACAATGGACAGTTTTTCAAACATTTCGCATTTCTAGGCTCTTTTTTGTTTTATTTTTTTTTTTTTGTTTACGTTCCTCCGCTTTTGGGTACCCCACTTATTGGATCGACCTTTCGGAAAACTTTTGTCCAAGCCCCGCCAACCCGCAAAAATTTGACATAAAAGCTCATTAACGTGATATAAATTAGATTTTGGGTGTTAGTGCAGAACATTGTCGGATACACTTGGCAACATTTGGTGTGCGTGGCAACCCTGCTCGTTAAGAAGCAGCAGTAGTAGTTTTCCAAAGACCCTTTTGAATAAATTAGTGGGCGGGGGAAAAGGTTCCTATTATGTTTTATTGCTCTTGATTATGGTTCGGTTCTCCGTTTTTCGTGGCGAGAAAAGGTAATTGTAGCATCATTTCACGATTATCCACTTCAGCCCGAGCAATCGCCCCAGTCCACACGACTTTTGTCCGCCACTTTCGCTTAATGCCTTTAAAATCACCTCGGAATAAGCTCCACTCGACGGAGGGGAGCCATTGTCCATGGTTAACACTCCCTTGCAGCTTCTTCTCGCCTTGCATTCTATTGTACCACACTGCGCGAAACGGGGGCTGGTATTATACATTTTAAAAGCAATCTAATGACAAAAACCCGGATTGTGTTACTTTCAAACAAAAGATATTATATTCATATTTACTCTTTTTTTCAGATTAAATCATCGCAGCTTTCGGAGAACTCAATACATTGGAATTCAGGTAAGCATTGTATTTAGAACAGCTTAAAAGCTTTATAATTAATTTTAATTAATTATTTAATTAAATAGTGTGTTTTATCTAGTGCCATTTGCTAAGTGTAGGGTATATCCTCTGTCATTGTTTTCGGTTTGGCTCTTTCTAGTCGAGTTGTCGCTTTTATTGAGCTGCTGCTCGGCAAAATCGCAAATAGCCATAAACGTGTACATCAGACTTTGCCTTGGTTCGCTTGGCACCAGCTGCCAGTACCAGTGAGCCATCCCCCTCAAAATATCCCTGCGTAGTTCCCCTTTTCGGCGCCCCTGCTTCATACTTGAACGCATTGTTGTTATAGCCATCTAATATTGGATTTGTTATTGTTACTTCTTTCTTTGCTCTTTGTTTTTTCTTTGGCCATTTTTGTTTTTTTTATTATATATGCACAAACAATATTCATACAGCAGAATGGAATGGGCTATGGGATGGGTTCGAATGGTATAGTATAGGTTTGATGCCCACGACTCGTGTCTGTTGTTTCAGGCGCCCCTTTATTACATTTTATTTTATTTATTTATTTTTATTTTTATTTTATTTTCTACGTATTTCATTGCCCCCGACTCGACTGCCTTTGCTTTGCTTTTGGGCCGTGGTGTGAGTTTGGGTTGGGGCTTCGGATTCCGACCGCCACTAAGCCTGAGATTTATGTACTAAAAGCACGTTGAAATGCAAACGCGGGGAATGGAAATGAAAATAAAATAAAATACATTTTATTATTTATATTTGTCGTGACTTCGATTTATTATCCGGCCAATGCCATAGAGGAGGTCTAGTTGGATGCTGAATAAACTGGGGGATCAGACGCGAGGCATATGTCTTACCTAAAACCCCAGTGACTGGGTTTGGTGAACCTATATTTTCTTAGTATATGTATTCATTGCATTGCATGGGGGAGCAAATGTTGATACTGTTTGTTATTACTGCAAAATGATATGCTATGGTATTTATGGGTGTATTATTGGGACTTGGTATCATTGAATAAGCCGAATTGCTTTATTTGAGCACTTTTAAAGCCGATTTGCTGGGGATTTGAAAGCCTTCCGGTATTCGAACTATACAATGTTTTGTATTGGCTTTCAACGAATTTAATCCAACTAATATTGTATCCCTTTGAGATTGTTAATTAAATTGAAATCCTCCCTTTGGCTTACTTATCTGATGCTTATCAATATTAGCTCCGAAAAATAGGCAACAATTTTTGTTTTTGCATAATATAACGTATACGCATTGTTCACAAGAAATACATATTTTCCCCTATTTGGTGCATATTTTGCCAAATAAAAATGGAGCCCAAGAAGAATGCAACACTTTTTCATAGTTACTAACTTGCCTATTTGCAATGGATATTGTAATATAATTTATTCGATTGCTTTTGATGTATTTTTATAAGCCGATTTTACGTTCTTGATTTGTGCGTTTTATATGTACGTAATTCAATTGAGCCCTGTTTCCGAGAAAATACATAAAAATGGACATAAGTTTATAATAGAATATTTTTTCGGTTTATGCTATTGAAAACCATCAATAGAGTGCATTTATTGGCCAGCTAGAAATTCACCGCAACAAATGTATTATCTTGGTTACAACACATAACAAAGCAAACCAAAATTTATTGAATAATCTCACACAGAATTTTCGAAGATAGCTATTCTGTATTCCTTTGTTGCGATATTTATAGCTGCATTTTATACATATTTGGGTGTCCTGAAAATAAATACAAATATAATAATTACAAATGCGTTGACTTCATTTTTTTAACATTCTAGACTAATGCCCTGCAAGACCGTAAATTGGATTTTTTTATTTTTTTTTGTGAAGTGAATTGAAGTGAAGACCATTTTTCTTGCCATCGCCACTTGCCAAGCACCCGAAAGTTGAGATGGGACTCTCTCGATTCAATTAGAATGCCAAAAATCATGTCAGCAGCCATTATAATTACTTCCGTTCGTTTTGGGCCACTCCCACTCCAAAAGTCAAAGCTCATTAGCAGCACAAAAAACTTTGCTCAATGCTCCTCCAGCTGACCGAAACAGACATGGAATCTCTGGACATGGACGGCTCTGGAATGGAATCGACCAGAACAAAACTCGAATGCTAATGACAAAAATAACGAGATTAGATCCGATCGGATCGAAGTGGGCAGTGGAGCATTGGCGCTTTGAGGCATTGGGGAAGGGGGGCAGAATGGACATTGAAGCAAATCAAGAAATTAGCCTTGTCAAACTGCATGACAAAATCGCGGGCGGTACGATTGCGTAGTGCCGTTGCCTGCCAACTTCAGTCAGTCTGTCAATATTTACTCATTTCATTTAGTCATTTTCAATTTATAACCATTCAATGGAATTCAACCCGCCTCCTCCCATTCCCCTCCCCATGTCACGCATCAATCGCTGTCTTAGCCTCGTGTTGTGTTTTTTTTTCTTCTTCCGTTTTCCGACCCCTTGGTATTTGTGCCATTTTGCACGCACTACAGTTCCCTTCCCCCTCACATTTCTCGTCCTTTTTCGGCGTTAATTTCCCTGCTACTTATGCACAGAGGGAAATGCCTCCGGCCAGGACATCCATCAGTCAGCTGCCGAGCGGTTCGCTGTGTGGGTTGTTCTGCACTGATGATGCCCCAGGGTGGGATATGTCGTCTTGGGGAAAGTGTATCCGTATCTCATAGCTGTATCGGCTGTATCGGCCGTATCGGTATCCAGGAGCTGGGTGCCGCATTTCCCATTCGAACCGATCGGCCTGCGAAGATAATCCTGTGAAAATTGCTATATGGGTTGCCCAAGTAAGTGGCTATTTTTTTATTTTTTTTTTGAAATGTTTGCTCAAGATTGCCGTCATAAATCTTCTCAAATCGAAAATCAAAGGGTTGTTTTGTTTAATAATATATATCAGCCCTATACATTTGCAATACTATTCATGTGCCGCAACAAGCAATTGACGGGCAAACTCTCCTTTTAAGCGCCAACAAAAAAAGAACAATCCAAATTCGTTGTGTTGTTTTACGCACACTGTTTTTAACGATTTCCCATGCTCAGAATTAATTCTAGTTATAGACAGCAAGCGACAGTAACATTTTTAATAGCCGCCACATTCGTGAGGGGAAGGGAAAAAAGTTGTAAATTTTTTCTAAGTGCCTGCCCCAACAACATCGCTCCCCAAAGACTACAACACTTGAGGCGTTTCAATTGTTTTGAAGTTTCTCATCGAGCCATTCTTGTATCCATTTAATGCTACTGTTTTTGTCTGAGACTTTTGGCTGTGGCGCTCAATTAACGCTTTTGGTTTATGGCCAAAGAATTTGCGTGGAAAGTTGGGGTTGGTCTGGGCATTGCTCGGTCGTAGTTGGCCAACAATTAGAAGCGCTCAACCCAATAATGCTGAGTTAGCTGAGCCATCATAACGGTAGCTCAGCCTCCATGTCCACATTTCATCACTACCACCACCCACTATCCCACCCACACAAAATGGCTTCATTTACAGCCGGAGGCAACAACAATAAGTGAAATTTTCACAAGCTTTGGGTAAAGCTTTAGTTGTTTGTTCCTCCTGGCCAAACTGCTTTATATATAGAGTATATCTTCGTTTCTTTTTTTTTGCTCTTCTTATTGTTGTTGTTGCATTAAAGGGGAACTGGTTAGTGGGGATAGCGCTGCGAAAAGTTTTCCACTTTACACAGCGAAGAAGACGCAACTTTGTAAGACCTCCGGTCGTTCCAAACTTCCCCCGAAGCCCAAGGAATTACTGGTCGTTATATACGTATATATAGTGGGAAATCTATTTTCGAATGCCAGTCAGACGACGGTGGGTGGTCAGATGCTTGGTGGTTGGGTGGTTGGGTGATTGGGTGGTTGGGTGGTTTTGTGCAAAAAGTATTTTTCATTACATTTTCCAACATTTCCACTGTGCCTTTGCCTTTCTTCAACACCGCCCCCTTATCCACCCCCTTCCCCTCCCCCAACCATTTTTGCGAAAGCAAACCAACGTCGACTTAATTTATAATTACGATAATTTGCGCATTACGTTTTCTTTTGTTGGCCTGGTTCGTCCTGTTCGTCCTGTTCGTCGTGGTGGCCCTTCTCGTTCCGAGGTCCTGCTTCTCCAGGAGACAAACTTTTGTCGGTTAGTTGGAACTGCGTCTCCCGCTCGCACTTTGCCTTTCCTATTCCTATCTATTGCCACCCAGCAAACAACATCCCAATCCACCTCCCCCCACCCAAGCGGCGCACTGGTTATCTATTCCCGCCCATCTTTTCGCCCCCATTTTCCGTTGTCCTTGCGGCTTATCAATAATGTTGATTTCACTCTGTGTCGCATAATTGAATTCTGAAGTTGTTAAGTCACAGCACAGCCAAATTTACGCGCTGGGAATAGGCCAGCCCACCACCACCACCACCACCACCACCACCACTCCCCTCCCATTTCGTAGGTCCAAGGCTGTTCGTTTGCTGATTGAAAATTTGCCAATTAGAAATAATGAAGCGTGTGACATTAAATGCAAGACAAGCAGCAAATCGGGCCAAGTCCCCAGGTTCTTTTACCGCCAGCCAACCACCTACCATCTCTTCTCCTCCTAAAAACCCATGGGATCGGCAGCGGATGGCTCGTTAGAGCTATATATACTATATATTGAGATGTATATGTACCTTGTAATATAGTATTTTTCACTGGTTCAGCCTGCCAATGGCGATAACAAATTTTTGCTTAGAACGGAAGAAGGAAGCTCTTAAAATCTCATTGCCGCACACTCACACACACACACGTAGTCGTTAGGCACGGATATCGAAAATTTTCATGTCTTCCTTTAGTTTGTCTTAGTTGGTGATCTCCCCACTCCTCTCCTGCAGGCGAGAGCAGCCATCATTAGACTTCCCGGGCCAGAAATCCCGTCAATCGAGTCCTCTTTCCGACCAGCTAGCTAGCTGGCTCTCCATGCCAATGGCCCCCCACAAAAACACCTAGCTCCAACATTT